TAATGGATGCGCATCACAAAACAGAAAAAGACAACGATTTTTCAGAATTTACCGAAGATGAACGGAAACTCATATTGAAGATTCAAAAACGTTTGTATCATGTCGAAACATCGATCTCTCTGACCTACTTCAAACGAATTTTTAGCGACTCACCTTACTCTATATCGTCGTGACACAAAGTACAGATTTTGTTACAACAAAGAAAAAACCTCAAAGTATGGAGGATGGATGTCTACGCGACCGACTACAAAAGTGATGTGCTTCGAAATGCAGAAATACACAAGACAAGTCATTTCACTGGCGATCAATCATCGTTGGCAAACAACGATAGTGTGTTTGAGTTTTTTCGCTGTACATATTTTGTATTAGTATAATGAGGCTAGAAGACACATGTGAGTTCCGCATTTTAGCCTCAAAGGGACTATGATGACCGATTTTTTTACGTATAAGCATACATAACTTCGTTTATTATCTGAATAGTCAAACATTCGTTTGTAAAAATTGCTTTATCTAAATAAATTTTCATACAAGAATTGACATTATATGTGTCCATATGTAGAAAATAAAGAAGAGAAAAACACAATGTTCTCCTACTTTACATTGCAGTAAAAAAAAACATTACTTTCGTTTTTCTGATATATTTTTAATTCTCTGAGCTTTATTTATTATTTCTAACTAATGTGTTATGCGACGCCGTGAAGTCAATACTTACTCCCTGTATATTTATTATTAAAAAGGAAAGCAAAGTGCAGCAGTTTTAAGTAAAAATAATACAAAAGAGAAATTCAATTGAGTCATCGTATATAAATAGTTTTAATATGAAACATTGTTCTTCTATATCTTTGTCTTTATTTTATGTTTATGAGAATCAGCTGAGCAGTAATAAAAGAAAAGATCTGAATAAATGAGTAGGTCTTGTTTTTTTTTTCACTAGATATTCCAATGACAAACAAAAAGGTGAAAAAGAAAAGAATAACAAATAACATTTATTAAAAGCTTGTTTTAATCTTGACGACCTTTTAATTCTCGTATTGTAATCTTATCCTTTTCAATAACATAAACAATTGCACCCCAACCGCTAGCAGAATCACGATCAACACCATTAAGTAAAGCTTGTGATGTTGCTTCAAATAATTCATCCGGATTCATATTCGGTTTAAATAAAAGTTCACCTAACAAAACAATATAAACCAATAAGAATTCAAAAAAACAAAAATATCATCATACCAAGACCAAATATAAATTCACTAGCTGTTCCAACTGTAGCTAAATTAACATTGTCACTAATTGCTCCAATATTATCTGAATCATAAACAAATGTTTCACCAGTTTTAGGATCAAGACCAACAACAAGTGCATATATAAAATAGGGTCCAAATCGTCGTTCATATAAAAGATTTGTTAACATATTATATAATACAATTGGTTTTATTTTTCTTTGTTCGCGTAATTCATATAAATTTGTACGAAATTTCAAACGTTCAGAAACTGTTTGAACCTATTTTGTATTTCAACAAAGTTCAAAAAACAAGTTGTTCTTAAAGAAAAAAAAGAGTAGCCCTCTCCGATAACATGCCCTCAAATTTGGATAATAATTTAAAAGGGACTATGAGATTAGCAAAATTTGCTTCTTAGGTGTCAGTAAAAAAAAAGTAATTCTTATCAAATCCCCTACTCTCCTAATACCTTCCAGGAAAATTTTGTTCGAGACAGATTTTTTTTTACAAAAATTTGTCTCTATAGGAAAAACATTTTCCTGTTTGAAAGAAATATCGTTTTCTTATTGCTCATATTTCGTCTATTCTGCACGTTGATCTATTGGACAATTATGTTGTTTACAAAAAAAAAGAGATTAATTTTACTATCAAAATTGTGATAGCAAATATTGAAATGATCGTTAATCAATAATTTTCGCATAAAGTTTTAGAACATATGAATCATGAGAATATGACATTTAATACAAGTTTTACACGATCATCTTGCTCATGCCTATATGCGGAGCTTCATCGTCACACACATCTTGAAGTCTCGAATTTCTAGAAAACGATATTTCATCCAAACAGAAAAATATGTCACCCGATAGAGGCAAACCTAATTAACACCTTGTCATGAATAATTCCGTTTATATAAAAAATAATAAGAAAACTTACGTCAGTTGCTAAACCACAAAATGCAACAAAACAATAATCACCATATTGAAATATCTTGGTAAAATTCGTTGCTATTGTTCGATTTTGTACACCATAACGTTTATCACATGTTATAGCAACACATTCTTTACCTTTCATTGCTAAAGCCACACCACCATTATACGACATAATATCATCACCCATTTTCTACTTTTTTTTTCTCTTATTCGATCTACAATTATGTCATGTATGCAGTTCATTATATAGATAGAAGTAAAAAAAAATTAAAAGTAAAAGAAAATTGCACTGTTCAAAATAAAAATAAAAAATAAAAAAATTGAATCGCTTAGAAGATTGGAATATAATTATCAATTCTAAAAAGAGATACACGAAAAATTTAGTTAAGACTGAAAATATCAATGCAATAAAAAATATTTAATTTACCGTGTACGATGTTTTTGTGCAATACATTCAGCTATCCATATTATATTACGATTTTCTTGTTCTTTTAATTTCAAATATGCATAGAATATACCAAAATGAAATTGACGAAGGAATGCATTCATATTTAATTTAACCTAATTAGAAATTTATAGTTTTTCATTTTAAGAACTTTCAAGTCTTACTTCATATTCAAAAAATTTATCTTCAATTGTTTTATCACCTGTATTTATTCCAGCTCCTTCAAATAAAACTTTATATTGCTAAAATATATAAAATACAATAAAATATATTGAAAATAAACAAAAAAGAAATATAACAAACAGGATAACGAGCAGCAACATCTCGCACACCATCATAACTATCAGTGCGTCGTAATTCTTGTAAACCATCTGGATTTAAATGACCACATGTTGGATAAAGTTTTGCACGATCATCTTGTGTAAGACCGGTATCAAGTGAATTAATTGTAATCATAAATGCTCGACGATCAGCTTCAAACTAAAATAATAAATAGTATTTATCGTTTGTTTTTTGAATATTCTTCATTTCATACAGCAAGAATTTCACACATAACTTCAGCTGTAATACCACCAATTTTTTTGCAAAAATTATAAAAATCTTCAAGATATGCCTAAACAAAAGTCTTTTTAGTACGAACTAAGAATATTCGTTTTTATATACTTTATAAAGTGTACTACGAATAATTTCAACATTTAATTCATCAAGATCATGTTCCGAAATACAATCAATAAAATACGGTGCTTGAAGAAAAAAAAACGAAAATCTTATTAAATCAAGAATTGATTTATTATTTACCTAACGGTGTATCGACAAGTACAGCTGTATAAAGTTGAGCTGGTGTATCAGCAACTGTAATAGCTCCAAGTTGTTCAAAACTTCCCAATGGATGACAACGTGGTAGAAGATCACCAATCGCACGTTGATGAAGAGTACCCGTAATTAATAAAACAATATTATCAATCATATAAGCATATCTAATACACAATTAAATTTGATTAAATATGAGCTGAAAATTTAGAGCAACAGATTTGAAATATCAGCGTAGATTTATCACGCACGAATGGATGTAGCAATGCTTTTGATCACCAAACATTTTCAGAATTCATTTCACATGACTATATTATTCCAGAACTTATTCGTCTAACGTCTACAAAAATTCTTTCATACTTGTTTTTTTCTTATTGTTTTAGTCGACGACTAGCATTTTTTTTAATCATCTCTCTTGAATTGTGTTCTGATTGATGTGATTTATAAGATAAGCCGGTTAAAACCATGAAGTATTTAACTATAATCTACAGTCAAAGGTGAAACAATTTTTTTGTCGTTGTCTCGATCCTGATCTAGACCCGCACATTTCTACATCAAGCCAATGACAACCACACCCTCATTCTACGATGTTCTCTATTGTAGGTGTCGTTGATCTGGATAAGAACCAAAGTATAGTGTACAAAGCAAACAAATATTAATCTAGGAAAAAATATTTTCATAATAGATATGTAGTTTTTCTAAAGAAGCATGCAAACTATTTACTAATTGTTTTGATCTTACATTAACTTTGTTTTTATCTTTGAAAACAAAACACTAAATGTGGGATAATGAAAAACTGCAACTTGAAAAAAACACATTGGTGATCAAAAGTATCTTGTTCACCGCATTCATTGAAATCATCGCATACATATCTGTAGTCTATTTTTACTTTGTGAAAACTTACGTTATATAATCTAAAAATGTTGATAATGGTTCATAAGATACATTTCGTAAATGTATAAATTCTTGAACAAGTTTTTCACGTAAACGATCATCAATAACATTAACAGTTAGTGGACTTGCTTCATTAGCCAAAAAATTTCCATAATCAGTTGATTGAAGATGAAGTCTCAAATCTTTACAAAACAACAAACAAATATAAATATCAATTGGTTTTCCTTTGGAAAATTAAATTTAATTATTCTCTTAGTTTTACCTTCAAGTGTTTCACATTGTACTAAATTATGATAATCACTTGCTTTTAAAATTCCACTTTTAAATCCTCGACACAAACCTTCAGCATAACCATGATCAAGATTAAAAAAAAGATCGTCTTTCATTATAGAATAGAAAACTTCCAAACTATCTGAAAATTAAATAAATCAATGCTCACACTAATTTGATCGCTTTAATATGAAACAAATCTATACAAATACATTCGAATTGATGTGTCTGATAATAATATATGAATAATAAATAGAACAAAGAAAAAAGAAAATCATTTGTATATAACAATAAGAAAAACAGAAAGAGAGAGAACAAGAGATTAAGCTCTATTTAACAATAACCGGCACATGCAAAAAAAAACAATTATCAGCTGAAAAGAAAAAAAATGGAATGCTTGTTCAATGAATCACACATGATAGATGATGAATAACATTAATGTGAAGTATGTGCTGTTTCTGTAAAAAAAGCAAGTAAATGTTCAACAGTAAATTCAAGTTGGATATTCGAATTTGGATAACAAAGTTCAATTAATTTTGTCATTCGTTGATGTTCTTCTAATACCAGAGTTTGAATATCGTGCCATATTGCCTAGACAAGACAAAAAATAAACAAGATTTGAATTTTTCATATCAATAGTCTTTTTCTTTCTGTTATATTGGTATACGGTAGCTCTCAAATCACCTAGTATGATAGAGCAAATCGTTCTCGACAAAATCCAACGTTTTCTAGCATTCTATGACATTTTTACGTCGAGATACATCAACCTTACGGGAGGTGTAAAAACGCTGTTACCATATGAAATCCTATTTTGTTTCTCACAAACTTCAATTCGTAGACATATGATTCAATCACATACAGCACCTTGCGAGAAAAAATGTGGCGTAAGAAAAATAGTTTTATGAAAATGTTACGAAAAGATCTATTGTCGAATAGCGGAAATCGTAGCAGACAGCAGCTTCAAAATAAGAAAAAATCTATATGCATTATGAAAACTATTTAAAGCGACTGCTATGTGCTCTAATGCAGATCTTCATATTCAAGTATAAGAGTTTACTTAACATTTGTATTTATATTCATATATAATGCTCGATGTCCTTTAATAGATTATTAGTTATTTTCTGGACCTCTCGGACGAGGAGAAACTCATCTAACTGATAATCTTCACTTGAGCTCATAAGTAGGACTCATACTATAGATGAAAATCCTTCCCAACAATAACTCTCATGGTCCTTCTAACACTCTGAAAGTTTCAGGTCAAACGAATGTTTCTTTTCTAAGATAACACGTTTGCAAAAAACTGCAAAAATACCTCAATTTTTAGCTATATGATATCTTAAGAAGAAATCATTCGTTTGAGTTGTAACTTTCAAGATATCATAAGTACCATGAGATCTATTGTCAGAGGAATTTCAGACAGAAATTCCTTGTTGCGATTTTTCTCGTGATATTCTGCAATAGATTGAAAGTTCTTTTTTAGGATTTTTATCTACACTATGAGTTCTACCAATGAGCGAAAAAAAAGAGAATGATTTAAGACATCATCGTATACTCACTTGCATAAGTGATGAATTTTCTGATAAATGTTTTTCAATTTTTTTATATAAATTTTCTAAACCACGTTTAACCTATATTTAAAAAAAAAGAAATATTTTTTGATTAAAAAAAACAGGAGTATAAGATATTTTTATACTTCTTTTGGTGGATGTTCACGAACAAGACGACGTAATTCAATAACACTACAATCACTTTGAAATTGTACATCTTCATCTTTAGCTAAACGTTTACGAAGTTCATCAACACGTTCAAAAAAGTTCTATTGAAAAATACAAATAAATTAAGAATATGCTATCGATATTTATATTTCTTTGTTCTTTTTACATGTAATCGTTCAAATGGAAATCTGCAATATTCACGTTCATATTCGGCCTTTGCAGCATTATAATGTTTTCGTGCTTCTTGTTTTTCAGCTTCTAATGCAGATAATTTATTGATACCCATTATATCTATTATATGGAATTATTTAAAATAAGACATGAAAACGCTCTTTTTTTAACTTACGTTGCATTTGATGATAATTTTCTAGAGAAAAGAAAAAAAAATAAATCAAATTTTTATGATTCTATTTAAACAGATAGAGATGTTTACTAAAATTTTGACCAGTCAAAGAACAAAATTATGACATCATTGACAGACATATTCAACTCTGTGAACAGATAGTTATACACAAAGAAAACTGAAAATCTCGATGAGTAAAAGGACTGGTAGAGGTTAATCTTTCCAAAAAATCTTTTGATTTTTTCTCACCAGCCAATTTCTATAAAAATTATCTGAATTCAACTGTTATACTTAATAGACAACACTAGGGTACTGTGGGTCCGCATCGACTAAGTTTAGAGGTAAAGATTTTATTTTAAAGGTCTAAATAATGTAGATTAAGATATCGTATTTGAAGTTTATCGAAAACTTCCCACAGTAGTAAACGATTTCTATTCTGTATTTCATTTATTTTGTTTTGTTTTGACTATTCACAGCAAGCTTTTTTCAGAGATTGAGCATCATTTTTGGAAATTACTGTGTCTTTTGCGAAGCTCAATATAGATTAATTTATTGTGACTCGTGATCCGATCAGAATCGATCTCTGATTAATATTGATCGCGGACAAAATGTTTAATATTAGATTTATTAATTTAATTGTTTGCTTGATTTCTAAACTTTAAAGTTACAAGCAGTTTAGAATTTTCTATTCTTAGATACTTTAGTTTCGGTAAAGTTGCATGACAATTTTTTTCCCTTACCAAGTCGAACCATTGAATCAGGTGTTTTGGCATCATGAACCATTGTAGCGGCACATTCTTCAATACCCCGAAAAATAGCTACTGCTAAATTTTTATAAACTCTATGTAAATCCACTGCTCTTGCTGATTTATCAAAAATAACTTCTGCTTCTTCACTAAACTCCTAAACCAAAACAAAATACTATGAAAAAAATTAATTTTTTAAAGAAAAATTAATTCCACTAACTGCAAAATAGTTCACAAATGGTAAAATTCCAACTCGACGATTTTTAACTGGACGATATTCATTTATACGTAAACAAGTATCATTCTAAATTAAATTTGTTTTAAAAATCAAACAGGAAAAAAAAGAACATTCAACTTACAATATAACTATCAACTTCTCGTTTAAGTAATATTAAGTTTCCAGCAAATAATTTATTAAGAAATGCTCCAAAGTTTTGTACAGCTATTGTATTTTCACTCATACGAACAAATAAATAAAGAATCGTACTGGAAAAAAAAACAAGAAAATATTTTTATAAATCATTTCGAAAAATACAACATACAATGGATCAACACTTTTTATATGAGTAATTAATGCTTTTATTTCCTTATCAAATGGTTCAAATAAGTCCGAAAGCATTTGTCTATAAATAAATAATAAAACAAAAAATTCATAATGAAAAATATTTTCATATTATGTACTTACTTTAAACCTGATGAACTAAAATTTTCAATACTTTCTGTTGATTCTGGGGCATTCTAAATAGAAGAAAATACAAAATAAAAGATTTATTACTGCACATTCTTTGAGACTAAAATACACATGTGTTCTTCAGTCTCATCAATACTACCCATGTCAAGAAATACAGGCTCGTTTCTGACCGAGAGAGCCTGCCAGGACTTATCTATTAAAATTATATACTACTTTATAACTGTGCCAAAAGAGAACCATAGTTCTCATGGATTAGCCTGTCCTTCGTCTAATCCATTTCGCTTAATAACAACATAATGTTTTGACGAGATTTATTCGGATCTCGAAAAAATAAATCATGAAAGCTGCTACTGCCTTGAGAACTCGGGAAAATGGCAAGAACTTGTAAGCAGCAATCCAATGGTTCGCTCCATCTAGTTCCAGACGAGTGTTTCTATAAGCACAAGAAACACTGATATTGATTTCTAACGTAATCGGTTTACGCTTTTAATGTTGATCATATGACGACTAGCAAATCAATGCATCACTATTCATCATCATTGGATCTTAAATATAAAATTTTTATCTATTATCATCGATTACCATGAAAAAATATTCAATGACCATTGCTCTTTCCTTTCCTTCATCCTATTGCTATGCACAAAATCTGAACTTAAAACTTACATTGATATATATTTTTCTTCGAAAAAACTTATGTGAGTTTCACAAAAATAAAATATTATTTAAGAAAACAACTTACATCACCCGAAATAGTTTCTTCTTCAAGAAAATTAAAAAAATTCACACAAAATAATTGTTCTTCACGTACAGCAGGTGCAATTTGCGTTAAAACACGTTCAAAAACCTTTTTGTTTAGAAAGAAAAATAGAAACAAATTTTATTTTAATACCAAAATAAAATTACTTTATCACATCGTGTACGAAATTCTTTTGTTGAATTTCGTAATGAAAATGGATCAAAATCTGGTATACCACTAGCTGATGAATTTTGCATGTGCTGTTTTTCTTTACGAGTTGTATTTAATGTTGAAACAGATCCAGCTAAATATATAAACATATACATTCTATATCACAATAAGATTTTTATTTACCCGAACGTTTGTCTGACATTGTAACAATACCACGTGTAACACCTAATCTAGCTGATTCAAAAAATCCATGAATTTCTTTAGTATAAATTGGTCGTATTTGTGAAACATAAGCCTTTTAACAAAAACGAAATATAAACCAAAATAGAACAAAATTATCTAATAGTTTGTTTCATAATTACTTGACAAACATCTTTAAAATGATTTAGTGATGATATTTTTAACCATTGACATAAAGGACTAAAAGGTAAAAGTGGTCTAGTTAATTTTTCACCATGACGTGGTAATTCATTAGCACCTGATTCAAAACGATCACCATATTCTTGAGACTAAAAAAGGAAAACTAATGAATTAAACTGATGAAAAACAAAATCTAATATTTTATTTCTTGATTTTCTAGGAAAACAATTTCGTTTTTTTCCACATCGAAAATTTACACTTACGACTTTTCCTTTTCTCAACGAGTACACATTTAGACATTTAATATCGATTTACACAAATCTTTTCTACTGATCTTCCATTAGGTTGGTAAAAATTATCTTAAAGAATATTTTGACAATAATACGCAAAAATTCCACTGATACTTCAGAAATTTTCCTCATTTTTTTGCCCATAAAATATCAAACTCATCAGAGATTATCTTATTCTATGAAATAAAGTATTGAACATTAAACTGATATATACAGTCTTGAATAACAGTAGCTGCCCTGTGTGAAGTGATACTATTCCTGGTGATATTTTGGATGCATGCATGCAATAATAAACTCTGATTTCAAGCTTCAACATGTCCTTCATTGGTTCATATGTGTTGTAGTTATGATTTAGATGTTATTTTCCTTTTGTGATCACTTTATCCCAATCATGTTGATCCAAATATTTTCTTTCAATCCCTTATTTGAAACGTCCTTATTATAGTTATTTCTAATTCATATTTCGTTTGATGTTACTTTAGAATAACAGAGATATTGTCTTCTCATAAAGAATATCTGATGACAAGCTAATGCTGATCTTTATTAAGATAGATCTCTTTCATGATAAATTTGATTAATTCTTTCGAACATTACAGTAAAAAGTTCCCATGAGATGATAAGTTTATTCTGGAATTTTTACAGTGTAATAATCATGAAGATCTTGACTATGTGTCATAGACTATGGTAATACTAAAGTAGACATATGGGACTGCCTTTAGTGCTATGGAAAAAAAAGCAGTAGTAACATGCGAAATAACAAAATGACAAAAATAGACTTTTTAAGCGCATATTTTTGCTGAATATGTTTTTCACAAAGGGCAGACCATATATGAATCATAACTCCAACACATGTAAATTGATGGAAGGCGAACTTTATGCTTGTGCATTATCGTAATGGAAAAAGCATTCATGTATGCATCCATAATTATGACGTTTAGCGTTAACACTGTTTCATTCCAGCGTTATTCGTAAAAAACAAACGTATACATAGCGAAATTAATCGAATTGTGAAAGAAGAATAAAACCAAGTGAATGCTGAATCACTTGTTTTTTTGTTACTGTGTATGAAAGAAACTAAATAGTTTTCTTTTTCATATTAAGTACAAGTTTGAAAATCGTACTATCACTGTAAAAGTATCTGTCGGATATCGATTCGTTATACCTCTGCAGAAATCTATTTGATGGGAAACGTTTATTTTTGTCGAGGATTATTAATTAAAAGTTACTTACATGAAAAACAAATTTACTACTAAGAAAATTTTTACATCGTAATGAAAATGCTTTTTGAGTTTGTTCAAGTAACTCTCGTCGTTGTCTAATAGCAACCATTTTTTCCATTCCTATATAAAATATAAAAATAAGATAATTTTCTTTTCAAATCAAATTTCTAAACCTGGTTGTAATTGTACAGATAATGCCTGAGTTAATAATGTTGCTGCTTGAATACATATTGTTCGATCATTATCATTTGTTAAATCACTATTTTGTAATAATTGAATATTATCATCTGAAAAATCTTGCATTTCCTTTTGTTTTTGATTCAAAAAGAAAAAGAATTATTTAAAGATAAAAAAAAAGAAAGTTTAAATTTCTTACAAGTAAATTTTCAAGTGCTTCAGATAATTTTTGAACATTAGCTGTTTCAATTTGTATTAATGAATCTTTTCGACTCATAATTTTAACTGCATCAGCTACTGTCTATTGAAGAAAAAATAAAAATTTTTGTTTTCATTTTTAATATATATATATATACAATTCGTTAACATACACTTAATTTTTTCTCATAAAGACCTAAACGACCATCAATTTTCGATATTTCTTCAACTGCTTTATCTAACATATTCATTAATTGAACGGCACCTTTTTCTGATGCCATTACTGTTTCAACATTTGCCTACGAGGATATAACAAAAAGACAATGAATTAAATTATGTTTTTATTTACCACATCAAGATCAGTTAAACGTTGTTGAAGCATATCAACGAAACGTTCAGCATCTTTAATAGCAAAATCATATTCTGACATAAGATTAGCTAAATCTTGTTCTTCTTGTTGTGTTATTGCATCCCATGTTTCAGGTAATGATGTACGACTTGATAATGGTTCAAGATTTGTTGTATCTAAAAAAATAACATCTTTTGTTTTTGTTTTCGTAAGATGAAAAGAGTAACTTACTTCCTACTAAATCATCATCATTTGGAACATTAAGATATTTAGGTTTATCTCGATTATGTTTTAAATAATGAGCTGTTATCTAATAGAAATAAAAATTTAGACGATTAAAAAACAAAAACAAATCTTGTTCTTTGTTTGTTTTTTTATTGATACAAACTTTTCTTAAATTAGTAATAAATTCTTTTTTTTCTTCTGATGTTAATGCAATAAATGAGTAATCTCGATCTGCTGTTGTTATATCAATACTAAGTGATGATTGTTGACGTTTATCATTTATTACTGGAGCATAATCAATTGTTTTTATTTCAGATAAGATAATATTTATTTTCTTTTTAGCTATTTCGTTTGCTTTTTCACCTAATCGAACTACATGTAATGTTGGTTGTGGATCTGCTTTTTGATAAACTAAAAAAATTTATAATGTACAAAAAATGCTTGATTTACAAAGATATTCTTTCTAAGATTTATACATATAAATAAAACGAAATATTTATGTTTGAAAATAGAGGATATCACAAGGTTGCATTTTTCCCATAAAATCCTAATTGTCAATTAGAAGTAATCTATCTCTTATCAATAATAAGATTTTTCTCATCATCGTTTAATCAAGAATATAACTGTGTAAGTAACAAAGTCATACGACTGCAGTCATAAATGTTTTAATCAACCATCAATTTTAGTGTTGTAAGACTAATATTGACTAACAGGAGAAGTTGTTTAGATTCAAAAACAACTGAATAGAAAATTTTTTGTTTGTACTCTTGCAAAAATTGATTGCCAGATATGAATGTTCCTGCTTGTTATTATATGAATAACTTATTCCGTTCATTTTTTATTATCTGTTATACAAGACAGAATTAATATAATCAAAAATATTGCGTTAATTTAAGTCTTTGTTATATGAAAAATATTTATAATACTTGTCTCTTTTTGTGAACTTACTATTTCGTGTAAGAACTTGTTTTTATATTTATTTTTATAGAAATAAATTAAGTATACAATTGAAACTAGAATGACATATTATTGCAAAGTTATACAATTAAATGTATTCGAAAAATCAGAAATATCAATTAGTCTGTTCGTAGCTCTGATATGTAATTTTAATCTGTATCTGTCTATTTGTATTCTGACAGTCAAATAGCATTAGGAATAAAGAAAGTAATTTCGAGTCGTCGATAAGTTACTCTTGTATGATCAGAAGCTTCGGTTTGTTGTTGACAGTAAAAGAGACTGAAATCAGTGTTTTATGCAGATTTTTTTCTTTCGGAGGAGCAAGTTAAAACTTCGGAAGAGTTAAGCCAATCTTTGGAGAGGCAACGACCTTCGGCTCCCACGCTGGATATAACACTAACAGAAATCATTGATTTTCTGTGATATTTTGTCTGAGAGAAAGTGTCTTCGTATGATTACTTGTCAGAAGTAGGGCTAAAGTCGATAAAATTTTCTTTCTACCATGATTTCCCACGAGATTGTAAATATTTTACAGAAGGTTTGAAATTTTTAGAAGGAAAGTGCTTCTATCATCTTCCGTCTAATCAGTAATCATTCATATTATAATATATCTATATAAAATAGTATGTGAAATTGAGTATATTTGAATATAAATTTTTTCAATCATGTTTGTTCTAACATAATTTTCAATTCGATAGAGTTTGATGGTATGTGAATCTTACAAATTTTATATTAACAATTCATAATTTGACATTGTAAAAAACTATACAATTAATGGTTAGATACAAATTATAGTAATAAGTTCTTTGTTTAAAATGTTCACTATAAGATATTCTTCGAATTACTGTTTAATCATTCCCACCCAGTAGCTGATGAATTATTCATAAACATATCTTGTAAACATTTATTCTAATGAAATAATCTATTAAAAAGTCCATATACTTACTGCAAGCACATAAAATGTACATTTTATCTTTGGATTTTTTTGTTACGTCTTGTACACGACATAAAGCAAGACATGTTTCTTGTGTTGTTGAAAAAAGATCATCATTTAATCTTGTTTGAATAGCCTTTAAGTCTTGCATCTAGAAATTTCAAAAAAAAAATGTTTTTCATTGTGTTCAATCTATTATCATAGGCAAAGTAAGTTTAAAAAGTATAGAATATAAATAAGTTTAATGCAAGATTAGCTAGAAATCAGTATTATTAATAACAAAATCTCTTAAGCATTGCCATAAAAAAATTCAAAACAGAAAGAAAAAATCATTAAAAATCATGGAAATTTTTATCCATTGATATGTTTAATAATGGATTCTTTTCAATGAAGAAAATAATATGTTTCACAATGATATCTTAATGGATAGCAAATGCAAAGAATTAGAACGACTGTCCTACAAGAATGAATGAAGATCAAAAAATAAATAGATGAGTCATTTCAGTTGAATTACTAATGACATCTAGAAAGAGCTTATGACAAATCATTGATATTAGAGATTCATTTTTTTTCTATATGAATATTTGACAATAATTCAAATTCAGAAGAAAATATTTTCTTATTAAATTATATTACTTAATTTAAGAGATGTCGCACGATATACACTACTGTTTATCAAATGTGTGCTATCAGACGTTGACAAGAAGCATATTGTATCATTCTGTAACAATTTATTGATTTCAAACTATGAAGGATGTAGATATGGGTTTGAATCTTTTGTATACCTTACCCACATCCCCACCTATTCGAACACCCACCGGCTTTCGATGTTCGTTCTGTGTGGTCCGCGCCCATAAAAATGTGTACCCTCAACGTCCTACCTGACATCACATATATAACATCACTTTTGTCAATATTAACTGACGAAATCATGATATTATTCTATGTCGATCTGTTTTCTCAAAAAGTTTGTATCGCAGAATAATGTATTAAATTTATTTGCACAGAGAATGACTGTTACTCATTAATCAAATAATATAATTTGTCTACAATATATCGTATATTTTTATCAATCAATATAAAATATATGTAAAAATGAGATTATATATGACATTGTGATTTTTTTAACTCATTATATAAGTAATCAAGAAAAAAAAACTAAAACATGAAAGAAACTTTTTCATTTTGTTTTTAAAATAATGCCAGATACTTATCGAATAGATCCAGAAAAAAAAACATCCAAAATCTAGTTTTCATAGTTGACTCAAAGAAGAATACGTTTTAATCTATCATATTCTCAAATGTCCACCATTCATTTTTTTTTCATTCAAGTTTCTTGTATTCGTATTACAATGAATAGAAAATTTTTGAAAAGATTTATTATGTCAACATAAAAGACAACTATCAATATTTATTAGAATAACTCGATCTAATGGAAATTAAATACTATCAAATAAAAATAAAAACCTTAATTAAACAGCAGGAGTAAAGCAAGTTTAATAAATGTTAATAAAAATAACAATGATAAATAAAGATTTCTACTTATGACGAATTAATAGAAATATTAAGTCTAGACTTTCTATTAAAAGAAAAAGAAAACAACGTGTCTTATTGAAATAAATTAACAATTATGTCGTTCTTATTGTTTAATAAACATCTCGATTAACTTATACAATTGTAAGAAAGATAAACTAGTCGACGCTTCCGGATGAGGCAGAAATCAATAAAGGCACAGCCACGAATGCCAAAACAATGATAAAAGAATTAATAACAGCAAAGCCCATTGCTTGATTACCAGCAACCATATCAATTTGTTTTGAACATCCGATCGGATAAAAATGATTGTAAGTATTATTAACATGCGACATACAATCTTTAGAATAAAAGCAAAAGAAAGAATAAATATTTTGTTTTTGTAAATTATTGATGAAATAAAATATTAATACTTACAAGCATCCGATGTAGTACTTGTTAGAATTGCTTCACTACTACAGCAAGACCTAGGTAAAGTAACATTGAATGTAAGTAGCAAAGTTGCAAGATCATTATTTGTTTGTCTTATTTCACGTTTTCGTCTAGAAGAATCAATCAATAAAAGTGTTTGTTGATGATGAAGATCATTAGAAATAGTCATTAGATCTTTTTTCATTTACCCTGAATTACTTGCCGTAGTTGTTATTATATTATCAGTTTGTTCAGTAGGATTAGTGGTATCACTCGGTTCCGTAGTTGTGATGGACGTCATTGTAGGAGTCGTCATTTCTGCCGTTCCATTTAGCTGAGCATATGACCAATCAAGCCACGTATCGACGCCACAGCATGTATATTTAGTTTGTAAAAGATCAATTGTAGTTTTAGAATCTGCCCTAGTCTTGTAGGCAAGCAAATGGTCGCCGAAACGTGTACCGACATAACTCAATGACTTTGCATTTATAACAATTGCACTCACTAGCGAAGCCAATGCAAAGACGCCTGTTATAGCAGCTAGAATAGCAGCAATTATACCTAAATTAGAAAAAAACAAAAAGATATTATTAATCTGATACAATTATATCAACATCGAATGCTTAATTTTTTTTGTTTGCTAAATATGTAAAAGAATTTCATTGAAATATAAAAATATTCTATGATAATATAGAAAATTATAATATTGAAAAAATATTTTCAACAAATAGTTTCTATTGTCAATTGGATAAATATCAAAACAGCTTATTTTTCAATAATAGTACAATGATCCGTAACGAGATGACTCGTTCGTCTAGTACAAGAAAAAAATAAAACAGTTTGACTTTTAATAGTTTTATACATAGAAGTTTTTACTTATAAAACATTAGTCCGAACATAATATATTGGTAAATATTTCATGTCTATTATAAATGTTTTCAAATGAAAATAAATGAGTAACTCATTATACTTATACAATGACTAAGAGTCAAATACGAAAAAACACGTCCATAATGTTTCACTCTATAATTCAAATTGAATCATACGAAAAAAAAATGCTACCAAAAATAGAATCACTAGAATAATTTCTTTTTAACTTATGTACTTAAATCTTTTGGTTTTTTTTTAAAATAAATCTTACCTATTGTTTTTTGTTTCATCATAATCGAAGCAATACCTAAGGCACCGGCCAAAAGACCAAACAAACTAATAACAATATTAAAACCAGATAATCCTATTTGTGGACGAAAAACGTTAACATATTTACGAAATTGTACAATAATACCAATGCTAACACCCAGATGAATTATAGAAAATGCCAAAAGTAGAGCCATAATAACAATTGATAAAATATGAATCATAGTCGCCATGTGGAATAATTAAAAGCGAAGTAAATCAATGAGGAAAACTAATTCCAAGTAATTACCCTTCACGATATTAGTTTTTCACAATTAAATACCAGTTATTTGAAATGCGTCGTAATACTACAAAAAAAAAGACAGAAATATGTATGCTGTGAAATGAAAGAAACATCATATCATGCAACGCATGAATGGAGAAGTATAGAGGAAGACAAACCCTTTATGACTACATCAGAGTGAAGGCTTTTTGTTTTTTGATATTATTCATGATTTGCATACAGACGAACATGCACATAGTTGACCTTCAACAGTAATAAGTCGTTTTCTTCTAATTCGAATTATATTGATTTATCAAATTCTAGATGAAATCTATATAAAATATTAGTTTTTGTTTGGCACTATTAAATTTCATATGACAAAAATTAATTTTATTATTAGTTATATTTTGTTTGAATGTCCGTGATTATGACGTAGAAAATAATACTTTATACAAAATTAAAAATTACGAAAACCTATGTTAAAGGCAAACAACGATGATTCAAACATTATCTAGATAAAAAGAAATCATAAATATTTAAATTGACTAAAATACAATAGATGTTTATTATATGATTCATATAGTTAAAGAAATAAGTGTTTATTATTTTTTTACTTTAGTAGTATACAAAAGACACTTAAAGGTTGATTCCAAATGATACTACGTGCTTTTTTTTAATCCTTTCTACTCTATCATATCAATGACATTATTGGTCGATAGAGCGTTTCTGTTTTATCTTTTGATAATAGTGAAGACATATTGTTCGATTACTCGTGAAATTTATTAATATCTTTAATCGATCAAGAAATTATTTTTCTGTTCATTTTAAATTAATATTTATGATAGAAAAAAATAATGTACAATAAATAAGCACAATTTGTATCATTCTAATTTCTCTGATTAATGGCTATATAATAATATCATTAATGATTAGCCATTTGTGGGAAAACTTCTTTTTGTTATCTATCAATTTAGAGTATCTATGAAATATTTGTTTTAAAAGTACGTACAATAAAACTTTCGTCAAATGAACACTGGTGAATCTTTTAGAAAATGTTCATATATGAAAATATTTTATATACAAATTTCTTCATGAGTTTTGAAATAATCAAAAACTATTCTTAGTATTATGTAACTTCCTTCATTTGAATATTTCATAAAATTTTCAACAGAACACAAAGTTTTGTATGATTGTTTCGGTCTCGACATCTGTACATTCGATGGATTTTTGCTGTATAATTCATCCAAAAATATATATCCACGAAAGTTGTTTTTACATCAAAACTTTTCAAATTTTCGTTTAAATACTTTGATTTTAGTTTGTTTGATAATCATTTAAATATAGTAATCGTGATTGTAAAAATAATGTTCCAGTTTAGAGTATGAAGGTGTTAAGGAAGATGTATTTTCAACAAAACAATATCACTTCGTAAGACTGAGGTTTTGTTTAAAATAAGGGGTGTTCACTAATGGAAGTTTCACTGTAATATAAATCGAAAAATTTTGATTCTCCAAAAAAAAAAAAAATATGAAATTGTTTAACTTTTAATTTATTGAAATTTTGATAGCCACGCTGTACTGTTTTAATTGAACGAAAATTGAAGAGAAACTTATGTTACAAAAGAAAATAAATGGTAACGAACTCTATGGCTTTGTTATGAAGTTCTTTTCATTTGTCATCTTCGTAGTACTAACAATACTATAGATAAGATGATCCGTTGCAAAACAGTGAAATACATTCACTCATCGTGCTTTTCTTTTTACATACATTGAAATAAAAGAGACAAGTTTTAAATTTTGAATGGATGGGAACAACATATAAGGCAAAAACAATAGATTGAAACAAAAGATTCCTAATAATAGGTCGGTCCAATATGATGATGGCCTCTTTGACTAGTTCATTCTATTACCTTAGTCCATTCTTCTACTGTTGTATATGTATTTTTAAGCTTAGTACTGATTTGTCGCTCATCAATCCTCTCTTAATTAACACCTTGCTGATATTCAAATTTTTTTCCTATTTTAGATAGCATGATTGCTTCTTCTACTACAGTTTCGATATCATTTTATGTTGAGTGACAATTTCTTGAAATATATGTCTTGAATTCTCTTATTTTGTTTATTAATCCTATGAATTATTACAATGATAATTCCCTTATTTATTTTTCCTTTCAATATATATTCTTTTGAGAATATATCTATTAAACTTCAATTAATATATAATTTGCATTTGGACTTTATTTTGTATTCTTCGAACTTTTTCTTTTAATTCAAGAACTTTTCTTTGCAAATTAAGATACATTTGTTTAATTATACATGTTTAAAGAAACTTAATGTATGTGTCAATATTAAGTATGTCATTTTATTTACGTATCGAATAGATAGAATTGATAATTCTGAATCTTAAATTGACTACGCTATCTTTTGAAATGTATTCTATTTTTAATAATGTGGTATTGATTTCATTTGAAAAAACTGCTCTGTAGAGGAATGTCTGTGAACGACGAAATAACAAGCAAACTATTAATACTAGCAATACCAAATGTTTGCTCAATAGCAAGTTTACCGAATTTTTTCGAGCATTCGTCTATATAAAAATTGTTTGAAAAATTATTGGCATTCTACATAGAATCTAAAACAATAAAAGAAAAAGCCTTAAATATTATTCTGATGCTTTATCATATAAAAATTAGTATTTACATAATTAGATGAATTTTCTGACGTTAATAGATTGTTTATACAGAAAAATTGTGGCAAGGTAATACTAAAAGAAAAAGATCAACTATATATACTGACATAGTTGGATTGTATTGGTCGTCATCATCGAATAGTTTAATAGAAAGGATTTGGTTTCAAGTTAATATTATGGATCATTTTATCTGTTGATGAAACTTTTTCGTCAGCAGTTTTTATATCATTGTTGAATAATCTCAAGCATGCGTCGTTTTCACTATGAATTCNGTTGTTTGCTTCAAATGTAATAAATATGCATTGCATTCAATAATACGAAAAGCATGATATCTGTTATGAATGATTGTTAAAATGCATATAAAAAGCACGCTAATAAAAGAATAAGAAAGAGAAGCATATTTAGGTTTCTATTTTTACAAACATGCTGTGACATAGTGATCGAGTGGGATTCGACCAATAGGTATAATCCAAATAACATTACTGAATGTTTTGTCAATTGTGAATAACAATTAAGTATAAACATTTGGCATTGCTACGGTTATAATTGGTTGTTTTCGGTATTATTCTGAAATTGAACTTATTTGAGAATATAGATTAATCAATAATTCGAAATAACTATTTAACGTTTGAATTGTTTTTATTCATCTTGAATGTGATTATATTTTGTTCGTATTCATAAATCATGCTCTTGAAACGCATAGAAACAAATTTATTCATATGTGACTTTGATTTTACATTAACAATATTAGATATTTTGTTGTTGTTGCGTAAAACATTGAATTCTGATTTTCAAACAAATACGTAATTCAATTTCGTTTGATGATAATTCCCAGGAAAAATCAATCGATTATATGATCTAATATCGGTGTGAGACTTAAAGGTGCTCGACTAAATATTAAATAAGTTGAAAATGTAAACAGTTAGCTATCTATTGCTTTTCAGCAATTTGAGAGAAGATCTGTCGAATGTCTTTTTCTCCGATACTATATAAGAGAAAATCATATAAAAAATAATGGTTCCAGCAAAATATTCGAAGATATAGTCTATGATTCCCATGAAATTTGAATTACAAGTAAGAAAATTCACTTAAAAAGCAACAAAAATCTCATTATTCAACTGAACAGATACACAACACATATTTGCTGCACATTAGACTGTGAGAAGATAATCATTCAAATCGTTTGCTGAACTATGGTTCTCAAGTCCTTTCTCTCTAAGAAACATGTTAAAATCAAAATTTCATCGAAATGACGGAGTACTTTCATTCCATATGTCTTCTCTTTCGATTGCTGAAAATCACAGATTATTAACTGCTTGTATTTCCGACTTAATTAATTTTTAACCAAGTAGCTGCAAGGAACATCCTCTTGTCAGAAATTACAGTTTTCGTCAAAAGTTTCGAATATACTGTTTTATTAAGAAAGAAGCTTGAGTTCTAAGGACAAACTTTGTTTTGTGTTTTATTTCCAAGAACATTGTTCTTTCTTTTCCTGCTCTTGTATCAAAGATTTTTCGATCGTTTTACATGCTAAAAAGTATGACAAAGTTTTAAATTTAAGAGAAAATTGTACTCTACCCATAAAATAATCGATGATCGAACGGACAAAAAAAATTATTTTTTTCAAATTTATTGATGAAAAACGACATTTTCATCAAGCGAATGCAATGAATTTGGTTTCTAATCAAAATCATGCAATGAAACTCACCAAGATGTACATTTTAATTAATGAATTTGAAATACATTAATGTTTTCGTCCGTTGCATATTTTGATGGCATTTTTTAAATTTTTTTACTTCATGAGTACAACTTTATTTTCATTTTCGACTTTTGTTTTGAAAAAAATCAATTTTTTTCTTAGAAACATCCTGATTTTTCGAATTCTTTCAAAAAAACAATATTTTCAAATATTCGACTTCGTGGCGTTGTAGTAACATGTATTGGATACACTTCAAAATAGATCTGAAACCTGTATCATTAGATTTAGAGGAGAAATCCTTGTCACACGAATACCTACTTTTTCACTCTTGATGTTATGAAAGCTCATTAACAACTCAATATTTTCGACAGAAATTTTTACTGTAAGCTGCTCACACCTCGATATAAATTATCTGAAATGTTCAGCCAGATTAACTGTTCCGAGGCAAAAATAGGTTTCTGACAGAGATGTGAGCCTTAAGTCTTGCGCTGACATTAGTTCGTCATTTTACAGCCCAACAGTAACAATTTTCTTTGGTAATTTTGATTGAATTATTAATCATCGTTTCTTATTGAATGCTATCAGATATACAGTAAAAGATCACAATATCGTTTAAGACCAATCGTAAAAAGCTCCTAAATTTGAATTTACATTACTTTTTAAGTGAATGATATTTCTTTGAAGAATACAGAACTACAGTAAAGCTTCTCCTTTGTATACACAATCGGAACCAGCGAAAAATGCTCACTTTATGAAGATACTCCTTATTAAGATGTTTTCAGTTCTCATAAAGCAATATACAAAACATCATTATTTTTGATTCTGCACGCAAACATTAAAACATATGTTGTTCACATTATAGAGGTTGTTATTGTTCATGGAACAAAAAACAAGCTCTTACTACCCAGTATAAGAATGTGCTCACATAGAGAAGTTCTACTGCACTCGTATACTTTCATCTTTTTTTTTTTTTTTACATAGTGAGTCAATATTAAACAGACTGTGTACAACGGAATTTGTCCTCAATTGGCATTTTTATAAGGCAAGACAGACAAATATATAGAACAAAAATTATTTATATTTAACAATCATTGAATTGATTTATCGACATATATTGCAATGTATTATGCTAATCCATTAATAGTTAATTGGTCAATGAGTAATAAGTAATTGAAGAAGGGAAGGAAGTTCGTTGAAATATTTACTGTATGTGAAATTAGATGATTCGTTTCAGTATTTTTTATTTAACAATCTGTTTTTGTTTTACTGTTACTGTCTATAAATGAATTATCATCGATGAACAATTAGAAAACTTCATAAAATTATGGATATTATGTTCACGTATTAAATTAATTAGATAGAATTAATATTATATATTCTAGTTGTTTAATAAATATACATCAATAACTGATTGTTTTAGTCTTGCTCAAAAATAATACAATTATAAGAATTATGTTACTCGATGTTGAATATATCCTGTTATAAACCAACAATAATTATAATCAGTTAATAATATTGATATTCTCGAGAGATACAGTGACTGACCATGCTATCTATATATATTCATTTTAAATTTTTTTTTATTCAATTAAAAAAAATACAACAGAAAAATATAATCATTTTGTCAAAAATTCATAACGTTATTGATAAACCACGTGTTGTGGAAGGATATAAGGGTAATAAGCATTTGGATTATTATTATTGGCATAATATCCTGCATTTGAATTATCATTACTATAGTTATATCCTTCATTTTGAGTCTGTTGCTCTTGTCGCATTTCATTTGGTAAAGGTTGTTTAGTATTTGGATTATTTGGATTAAATGTATCAGGAAACATGTGCATCGTTAATACAAGAAATACGAAAGCAAGAATAGCCAGACAAGTATTAATAAGAACAAGGCCTGCTGCTTGAGTAACAACAAAATTTGCACAAGGTATCATGCATCCAGTGACATAGAAACTGTTTGAACTATTATTAACCGTGGCTACACAATCTAAATAAACACTTTCATATTATTTACATTATTCAATCATAGAAAAAAGACTTTACATCCACCGAGTGAATTGGCAGAACCTACTCCATTTTGTTTACAGCAAGATAATGGTAAATTTATACTATAACCTGAAGGTAGACCATTGAGAGTGACACCTGTTATCAGTTGCTGCCTTTTATGAATAGATTTAACTAGTGTACTTGAATACAGATGCAAATGTCCACGACGACGTCTGCTACCTATTAAGAATAATAAGAACTTACGACTATTATCTCCTAGTTCTGAGTTAGTTATATTCTTATCCCCCATCATATTGATTCCTGTACCAATACTCATGTTAGTATTCATGCCCAAAGCAATACTGATATTGGTACCAGTACCTGTTCCGACTCCAGTGCCTGTACCAGATCCAGTGCCCGTGCCAACGCCTGTACTTCCAGAAGATCCCGTTGTAGCTGTTGAACCTAGTTGAGAACGTCCCCAATCAAGCCATAAATTCTCACCACAACACTGAAATTTCGTTTGAACGGCGTCCATGAGATTAATAGAATTTTGATCTTCAACATATGCAGTAATATGATATGCTAAACGTCCTCTTACATAACTAATTGCTTGAGTGCTAACGATCATTGCAGAAATAAGTGATGCCAATGCAAAGACACCCAAGATAGCTGAAACAATAGCAATAGTTTTACCTTGAAGAAAAAGAAATTCTCTCTTATGCATTAAAGTTTTTGATATAACAAATATTTACTCAAAGCAGCACGTTTTTGCAAGATGGCAACTAAGCCTATTATTCCAACTGCTATAGCATATACTCCAATAACAATATTAAAAGAATATAAGCCTACTGATTGCTGGAAAACATCACGATATTGACGATATCTAGTAGCAATGCCAATTCCAACAGCTAGATGAATAATACCAAGTATGAGAATAAGAGTTGTAACGACAAGAGGCGCCGTAGGTGAATCCCCCATTTGAACAAATAAATTTTATCCAAAACTAAAATATCACAAAATTATACCGTGTGCAATATTATCTTCTGTATTCAGATTTAATGCCTATGTCTTTTTTTTGCTTTTATAAATTGTCCTTACTATTATACTATACATCCAAGTCTGAACTTGTAACGGACGAATGAGTATCATATACAAACATGAAGGAGAAAAAAAAGAGCATTGAGTATGAAAGGGAGTATATGTTTTTTTTCCGCATGTATCATATGCATCAAAATACATAATTTACGTCTATTGATCATATATTAACAAGTGCACATATCTCAAAAATAACTATAGAGTATTATTTTTTTAATGTGAAAATTTTCGTCGTTAGTAAATCATAATTAATGATAAGACGTTTATCGTAGTATCAACAACGCATAATTGCACTCAGTGCAAATATGTATGTGATTTGATGATACATTATTTTAAACTTGAATTTAAACAAAATAACTAAATATTTGTTTATTTTATTAATTATAAAACTCCAATCAAATCATTCAACGCATTAATATAAATACCACTTTAGGAAAAGAAATTTTACTGACAGATCAAATGTGCTAATCGTATATCAGATGATTACTACCAAGTGCACTTGTTTACTTTCATCTCTTTTTTTTTCTTTTAATCATATTGAGTAAATATCTATACAATAGAATTTATTCTGAAAAAAGGTTTCATTTTCTTTTTTGTTTTGTTATATGGCAAGACAAACAAATACATAGAACAAAGATCAATAGTCAACTGTATTAAACAACACATTCACGAGACGAAATAAAACTTTTTATATTCAATTGTTTTTCAGGTGATTGATCAACACTGATTTCAATATGTTGATTCGGTAATGTTGATGTTGAAGATGACGCTGACAATTCTAAACTACTAAATCCATAATCAGTACTTAATGATTGTGGAATCGTTGGAAGTTCATTTAAATGTATACATGGTGGATGTTGATTTTTACGTAATAATTCAGCTAATTTAAGATCATAATAATATGTTGATGAAGTCGGATATATTTGATTTATTGATTCTTTTTGATTATACCATGTCTGTATTCCACTTGATGATGAATTTGATGACGATGAATGTCCATTAATAATACATGCTGAGTCATCTGAATCCAAAAAACAAAACGAAACTGTTAACATAATTCTTACAGGATAAAAACGTGAAACACGATGTAGTAGCTATTGATAATCATAGGAAGATTATTTTGTTCTATCTATTTTTGGATACATTTCTTCATCATTCTTTTACTTAATCCTCGAGAAATACAATAATGAAATATTATAACGAAACGTTGTTGATAGAGGATCATAGACTATATATCAATAACGTCTATGATGGTCTATGGTGAACCATTGATAAGGATGTCTGTCACATATAGAGACCATCGAGTTGGTTCTGAATCTGATCGAGTTTGGATTTTAAAATGTTGGATCCGACAGGTTCTAGTCGCCTGAGAAATGTGTAGGGTGCACTAGTCACTGAATACAAAAAACTGGGAAAAAGTGTCTCGTATCTTCGGGGCGATCATCCTATTTCGATTAAAAAATTTCATTGAGAGTGTATATGTACGATTCGACCGGGTCCCTGTCCAAAGATTTTGAACTCGATAGGCTCTAGTGACATTTCTGATCAGCTATTTCTTATATGTCGGTCACGTGTGACGGTCTAGATGTCTACTCTTACACTTCAATACTTCTTTTAGATCATGTTTCACTAAAAGAAAATAGAAAAGAGTTTTGTCACAATAGAACATACGATCATCTTCTCGAATCGTTGAATTTGATGAAGTTTTATATCGATCACTTGAACTTTCAGTCTATAATTAATAAAAACAAAAAATAAAATTTTTATAATTGAAATGTATGTTTTTGTTTTTCTTCTGTACTTTTTCACTATTATAATCATCATTATATTGTAAAAATGTATGTTGATGTGTTGATGATAAAGCATCATTTTTATGCTTGGGTTTTCGACAACATAAACAAATAATTAATGAAAATATAATTATACATATACATGTTATAATTAAAGCTAAACTTATTGCATAAATAAGTATCATACGATTATCTGAGAAAAGATATAATTGACATGAATTTAATATTGAACTATTACATATATCAATTTGAAGTTTCATTAATGAATATTCTTTTGTATATTCATCAATAATATATAATGATAATATATATGACGAGGCATATGGATGAGATATAAGACTGATTTCACCTGTTGAACTTATATTCCAACATGAAAGTAAATTTGTATTATTTAAATAAATTTTTGGTTGATATGTATGATTATATAAATTTGTTATATCAATAATAAATGCAATTGTACCTTGTGTATTTATATCAAGAATTGTTCGTTGAATAGATATAGGTAAAAGCTTTGGTAATTTATTATTTATTGAATTTGATTCAATATTAATTGTTAATAACTGTGTTGTTGAACGTGAATTAATTGAATCATAATCACTTGCTGTTATTTCAAATGTATAAGATAATAATGAACATGTTAAAATTGACGATTCATATGGAATATAAATATAACCAAGTGATGTTATATCAAGAGTTAAACATGGATGAAATGAACGTATAGAATAATTTATAAGACCTTGTAAACCTGAATCATAATCATATGCATATATACGACCAAGAATTGAACCAGGTTGAAGTGTAGATTGTGAATATGTCCAATTATATGAATGAGTTTTTTCAAATTCTGGTGAATGATCATTAATATCATGTATACGTAGAATAATTTTAGTTTGACTTGATAATGATGGTTGTCCATGATCATAAACTTCAATATGAAATTCTAAATCAATTGTTGTTAAATTTTTTTCTTGAAATTTATTTAATATTTCAAAATCAATTGATTGATTTAAACTTAATTGACCTGTTTTAGAATTAATTATTAATAAATCTGTTTTATTTAATAAATGATATTCAATATCAGCATTTTGTTCTATATCACAGTCAGATGCAATTAATTTATCAATAATATACCCAATTGGATTATTTTCATAGATATTATATATTGTTGAATTTGTTATTATTTTTGGTATACAATCATTTATATCAGTTATATTTAATATTAAATATAATTGTGTATGTAATGTTGGTGTACCTGAATCGTGTGCAATTAATTGTATATTATTATAAATTGATTTTAATTCTCGATCAAGATTTTGATTAAGAATAAGAGAATATAATTTTGTGTTCTGAAAATTATTTTGATAGATTAATTTATAAATTAATGGTAATGGAGGTTCAGTTGTACGTAATTGAAGATATGGATTTCCATTAGCTAAATTAAATATATAAATATATTTAATGAAAATTTTTAATTATATCTTAGTCTTCTTTTTTATCTTGACGGTTAATGAGAATAAAAAAAAGGATACTTTTTTAATAATGATTAACAATTGTGTTATTATAAAGTGTATATATTCATATCGAATATGGATAATGAAGGTTCTCTTTCAACAATTCGTCTTGGGCAAAGTGCATTCAAATCGTATAAAAAAGAAGTTTAGAGCACCTGTATTTTTAAGTTGTTCTTTCTAATGGCAATAGCTAGCAAGACTCTGAAAAACAAAACATTAGTATAATTGAAAAGGTTTTGTATTAATATTAGTAAGCCCGAAGACTTCAACAAAATTGCTAGAATGAAAATCTGTAGAAAACCACGAGTTCCGAAACCAACTTTCTTACTTTCATTCGAAGTTTTGAGAATATATTTTATTTCATACAGCAAAATGAGACATCTTAGATCTTTCTATTGAACTGCAGACAATTCACAGAAGGCATCAAAGTGTCAAACACGACTAAACATTGAAATTGTCAAATGAAAAATACTTCTTAGGCCTTTTGTAAATTAAATGCAGTTCGATGGAGAGATAGAAGATGTCTCATTTCGCTCTATCAAATAGAATCTTTTCCTGAAAGCTTCGAATGAAAGTTAGAAACCTAGTTTTGGAGAGTTTTACTTTTCGCAGACACATGTCCAAGCAGTTTTACTGAAATCTTCGGATTTACTAATCTCAATAGAGAATTCTTTCATCTATGTAAATGTTTTTCAGTTTCTTGCTAGCTATTATCATCGGGAAGAAAATTTAAATATAACTGCTCTAAACTTTCGAGGAAGATGATAAAAGTGCCTTTTATAAAATAATAAAAAACTATAATTCGAAAAAAACGGGCACTGCACCTTCACATGCTCTTTCAAAGAAAAATAAATGTAATTGTCTACAATGAAGCTTTATCGAGAACTTCAAGATGTGCGATTAGAAAAATATAAACAGAGAAAAACTTCTGAAAAAAATATATTTTTCAAGTAAAGTCTTGATCCAAAACGTCGTACCAAATAAAAAACCGTGTCGTTTATGAAAGATCTTAATTGTAACGGAACACGACCGGATCTTACCTTGTCGACTCAATAACAGACATTAATTACATCAGAAGAAGTCTATTATTTTCGACAGATAAACGATTAATTTTAACTTTATCATTTTTATGTGATATTAAAATAAATACTAGCGTTGTAAGTAATATCCTATAATTTGGAAGCTGTTACGCATTATTACAAAATTAGTTAAGTCAAATAATACTCAAGTTTTATTCAATATAGAAACTTCATTATCTATGATATAGAGCTGAGAGATATGCATCGGCACGTTGACGCAATGGTTAGTTCGTTCTTTTTATTCTCTCGTAAGTATGTTATATTAGCACTTAGAAGAGTTACCTATTTCTGCGAGTGCATATATTAAATTTTATCTGTTCATTCTACAGATATAATCAAAAAGATATTTGAATATTATTTCTCTCGTATACTCAACTTTTGAAATATTTGAAAATTTAAGATTTTAATTTTAACAAAAAAAGTAATAATTTACCAAATGAATCAAGATCATTGAGAATAACATGTGCGATTGTTGTACCGACTAATGTATTTTCTTGAATAAAAATAACATTTTTATCATTTTCTTTTTGTTTTAATGTTATATGTTCTAAATTATATTGAAAAGAAATATTTTTCTTTAAATAAAATTTCGTTTTTATTATTTTTACCTTCGACTTTAATTTGCATTAAAACAGGATTATCATTAATATCAATAACACGAATAAATATACTAGCATACGTAGGTATTGAATTTTCATAAGCTTTAACAATTATTCGATAAGATTTTTCTCTTTCATAATCTAATTTTTTACTCAATTGAATTTGTCCAGTTAAACGATCAATTATAAATGGTGATTCAGTTAAAAGCTCATAAAAAATTTTTTCATTATTATCATTAATTGCTTCAACTTTTAATATTGTTGTTCCAATAATAGTGTCTTCACGTATATCAATGCTATAGATAGATTGAACAAATGTTGGTATTGAATCATTTGTATGTAATATATGAATATCAAGTTGTATTGAATTTGAACGTGGTTGTTCACCATAATCTGATGCAGTTAATACTAATGAATAAGATGATAAACGTTGACGATCAAGTGATGAACGTACAATTAAATATGGAATATCATATGAGGAAAAATCAACATCAAAATCATCAGAATCAGGTCCATCAAGTCTATATGATTGAACACTATTGAATCCTAAACATAAGGAAAAATAAATAAATAAACTACTTTTTCTCTAATGGGCGGTATAGTTATTTTTGGTGTGTTTTTCCTTAGGGCAACGTTCGTTTTTATAGAAATATATATACATATATTTATGTACAAGGTCAACAACATACCTTCATCCGGATCGCTTGCACTAGGTAAAATGATTCGATAGCCTAAAGGTACATTTTCTTTGATATGTATAACATGTATCATTGATTGCTTGTCGAAATTAGGTGAATGATCATTCCGATCTTTTATTTTAATTTCAATTATTTTATAAATTATTTTATCTTTAAGTTTTATTGAAAGTTGAAGAATAATTTCACATGAATTACATGAACATTGTCGTTTTAAACACATTTGTTCACGATCCAGTATTGATTTAATAATTAGATGTCCTGTTTCATTATGAATTGTTAATAAATTTTTATTTAATGGTAATAATTCATAAATTTGAAAAAATCCATTAGATTTTATATTTAATTCTTTTGATAAATCAGTTATAAGTGTATTTATTGGTAATTTTTCTTCAATAGTATATTTTAAAATTTCATGACTGAATACTCGAAGAAATATATTAAGAAAAATGATTATAAAAAACATGATTAATCTGAAAAAATAAATGAAAAAAAATTGTATAGATTTTAAAATTTTATTTTACCTACTGAACATTCATTTTTCTTTTTCTTTTTGCTTATAACAAATTGCTATCAATACTAGGACAATTACTTTCATTTTCTTACTTTGCTACACATGATGTATTCAATCATCGATCTGTCCGATATATGTAGACAGTAGTCAATCTTTCGTTCATGTTTCAATCTTCGAGTTGCTTTTTGTTTTTTTTTTGAACAAACAACAAAATATATGTGTTGAATGGAATGAGAACAGACAGAGGGAGAGAGAGAGAGAGAGAGAAGAGGAAGAAGGTCACTTCACGCCCGTTGGGCAAGAGAGTGGCGAGAATATAGAAAAAAAAAACGAAAATTGAATTGGTCAATAGGTTCGATAATCGATGGCAATCAGTAAAATAACGAAATATTTCAATTAAATGAAACCTATTCAATCAAAATCCAAAGAAAAAATCGTAAAAAAAAAGGTTTTTTTCGAATAAAGTCTAGATTTTCTTTTCTAGAGTCTCATTTTTTTTTTCAATGAATAATTCAAGTGTTGAATGTATATGAAAAAATAACATTATTGTTTTTGTTCGATACAAACTTATTCCCATGGTAGTTGGAAAGAATACTACTTGTTATGTTTTTTTCTTTCAGTATGCAATTTCAATTTATTCAAAGCCTATGCCGATCAACTCTTGAGTTATAGACAAAAAAGAATCTACCACTTCACAATTGAGTCAATAGACAGAGTATAAGCATATATTCATATACTGTTGAGAAAAAAAAAAGAAAATCGAACAATAAGAACCGACCTGTTTACAAAGAAGTGTATCTTCTATATTATATTCTAATGCCATGAATACATGTTCGAAACAAGAAGATATATATATATGTGATGGATGGGTGACGAATTCTACTCATTAAAAAGTTTTTTTTATTTTTGATCTATATCATTCTGTTCTCTTATGTTCAATTGGTTCAACTCATTCATTGGTGCTCTCGAATACACATCAGAAAAAAAAAGAAACGAGAGTAGTCATGATGAACATATTCATTCATCAAACAAAACATGAAAAGTACTATGCCGGAACTGCAACAGTTGCAGAATTCCGACTAGCCGATTTATTGATCTCGAAGAAGGAAATTGTATATGTTTACAATAAAATATTGTCTTGAAAAGAAAAAGAATTTATTTGGATAATCACCTCGTCATACCGAGGAAATCAATTTGTTGACCGATCAGATAAGCGAAATTAAATTTGCCGTCTCATATCTCTGATGTGATCATGTTATAACAGATCTACTCAAAAAAGTGACAATGTTGAATAATATCGACACGTTTATATATGCACCTTAGGGATGCTAATATTGTTGTCAAAAAAAAATTTTTGTTTTTGTCCATAGAGGAAAAACGAAATTTTAGCCAATTGATATCACGCAGATAAAACAAACTTGTTAGAAATAAACAATTGACTTTTAAATTAGAATTATGCCATCAATTTTCACATAGTCACAGTCTGTTCGAATGTTTGTACATCAATCATCGACTTTACCAATGTCATCAGCATCTTAATGAATGCAAAACAAAAAATTAAATTAAATTTCCTTTCTCCACTTCACTATACACTTGATCACCAACAATTGAGAACATTCTTAAGTTGGACAGATGCACATAAAGTGTACGAATAAAAAAAAAAAAAAAAAAGGAAAATTTAATATAATCGACAAGTTGTCAGGATTTCTGATTTTTATATAGGAAAAAGAAAAACACTTGCCCATTTTTCTTAATCCCTCCCCTATTTCACTTATGTTGCAGATGCTTATTCAATGATCAGTTTTGTCAATATTAAAAAGCATTGATTTAAATCATTTTCATTAAGAGAGATTTTCTTCTTTTTTTCTGTTAAAGAGAAATATCAATAAGAAGAAAAATTTTTATGAAATTACATTCGCAATAATTACACTTATGATGATATGAAGAAAAAAGATCAAACGTTTTTTTTTTCCTAATGAGAAATATATAAGCACGTAATTGTAATACGTTGTTAACAGCAGGTATTAGAAGTTCTCGTGCCGTATCATATACACTTTTGATGGATTCAGTAATACAAAAAAAACAATTCTATTCATCTCTGTAAAAGTTTTTAATCGATTACATTTGACTTATAATAGATAATTACGGAGAAAACAAGCGGAACAGAATTTACATTGATTCTCGTGGACAGATGGGATGTCTTTTGATTTTGCGCATCATCGAATAGTGCTGAATCTTTTCTATTGAATTAGATAATGATTGACTAGTGTTTTTTGACTTATACGATCAAGTAGTTATTTTCTTGCTAATGATGATGACTGAAAAAATATGTCCGGATGAACCACGATAATAGTTGAGTATTTTTCTAAAAAGTAATTGATTGATTCTTTTTAGTCTCTACCGACAGTTGATTATTAAATCTTAGTATATATTTTTGTTCATACATTTTGAAATAACACTTCTGTACTTATGAAGATAATATCAAAATTTATTATAAGAAAAAATGTATAGGATTAATATTGAAAACTTTTCTGTCTACGAAATAAATCTTTTGGATATCTTTAAATCGAAGATGGAATCGGTACCGATACGAATTTCAGACTGATATCAATACTGACTATGAAAAATTCAGACCGATTTTGTCTCTGCTTGAAATAATTTGTTTTAAATGTTATGAAAGAAATTGAAATATTTTCTATTTATTAAACATGTAATGCCATATGAAATGTTAGTAGCAATTAATTTGCATAAATGGATTGAGAACCATCAATTATTCGTATTTTATCATGCCAATAAAGTGGTCATTATATAACTCTTGTATAGATTGTTTTTTTTCTTTCGTCATACAATAAGAATCAACATGAATGTATTGAAAAAAGAAATTTTTTTTAGCCTCTTGAAGAAGTCTGCAGAAGTTTAAAAACATTGATTTAGAATCAAAACTTTCTATTGTTTCCGAATATAGGATATTTTAACTAATATTTTTGCAGCAATTGTCTTCTTCACTGCATACAGGGTGGGAAATAATATTATTCAAGGGGGGTACCGCTATAATTTCAAATAGAAGATATGATGAATTTTATACCAAATGAAAGCCTGTGAAAATGGGGTTTATTGGTACTAAATGATGAGGATTATGAAAACCTTTTAATGTCGACTTAAATAAATTTTCAGAAATTTTATACTTTTTTGGGGGTGGAAAAGTAAAGTGCCAGTAATTGAAAAATGGATTAAAATGTTTTTGTTGGATATTTTTACATGGTTCGATACAGCTTATTGAGCTCTACAAAACTGTATATATGAAAAAATTTTCTGAGTCATTNATTTGGTATAAAATTCATCATATCTTCTATTTGAAATTATAGCGGTACCCCCCTTGAATAATATTATTTCCCACCCTGTACATTATATTACAGATTTTTTTAGCATAGAATTAAAGATGAGATTGTTCTCTAAAAAGTGATAAAAGAATCAAGAATTTTGGAACAATCATTCAACAATGGTCGAGTTCACTTTGCATGTCTGAATCTCTAAAAGCTCGAATGATAAGTTCTAAACAAGAAGTCTTCAAAAGTTTTTGAATCTATTATTTAGAAAGAACAAAAAAATTCTAATTCTAACCCAACATTTTTCAAAAGATCTTCAGATTTCTGTAAGAGACTGAAAAGGGAATAAACATTTGATTTAATTGCTTTTCGATCATCTATTATTATTAATAATAGTAAAAATATTAAAGTTTAAGATTTCTAATGTATTTATTATGTTCTAGTGGCTTGTGTTTACTTAAAATTTTGAACTCTTATATTAAAAAAAAAAGAAAATATCAATTGATAGAAGATTTCTAGATCAATCTATTTCACAGATATGAAAGATCTTTTAATTTTCAGATTGTTCAATTTTTCAAAAGATTACTGAAAATCTTGAGTATTTATCTATTTATGAATTATATTTTGAACTTTGATCTTAACGTACAGAATGTCTTTGTTAGCGATGTGCGGAACTAAGTTTTTTTGGTTCCGATCTAGAAAAAAATATTCCAGAGTTTATTCGTACCACATCTAAAATAACTCTTCAATATTTGTTCTTTTAATTTATTTAGTCGATGACAAGCACTTTTTTCGATAATTTCTTTTGAATTATGTTCGGATTCATATGATTTATAGGACAGTTTGCTTAAAATCATAGAATATTTTATCATGAACTTGAGTTCCGATCTTAGCAATTTTTTTTCTCGTCACCACAGTCCCGCATATCTTTAGTGTTTGAAAAGGCGTCATAGGTTGAAAGAAGTGAAGATAACGTATTCATATATTTTCTATTTTTACAACGTCCTAATATCTTCGTTTTTTATTTTCTATACTGTGAATAGTACGTAGGAAGGTATTATGCATCCCATTTTAGTTTTCTTTATCAACCTCATAATAACTAATTACTGATTAATCATGATACTAATTTTGTTTTCTTTGCTAATAAACAAACATAGTATTTCTTTACTAAAAGTAAAATATTGACAACTATGCTTACTGCATCGCTTTCTCTATTAACTATATGATGTTTATCAAAAAATGAATGATAATATATATATTTATCAAGTATGTACATAAAGGCCATTATTTTTTCTTTTTCTTGTTCTGTTTTATATAGTCATGTGACCCCATTTACGTCTTACAATAATGCATGACATGTATTCTATAACCCAAAACAATCCGATAATATTTGGTTAAAAAAAAGACATGTCGATTATTAATGTTTCACAAACATTAGCCTATCGTTTAAATCCACATTTAAGTGATATTAATTTCAAGAAATCATGTGAAAAAATTCTTAAAAAAAGTAAACGTATTAAACAACGTACACTTAGCAATATTCTTGCTCATGATAATCCAGAAAATTCATTTATTGATGACGGTCAACATATATACATATGGTATTTAGCTATTGGAAGTATGATTAATCCAATATCATTATATTTACGTGATCTTACACCACTTATTTCTTATCCAGTTAAATGTCCTAATTATCGATTAGTTTTTCGAGATTCTTGTGGAATGGCTGATATTGAATTATGTGAAGGCGAAGCATTTCATGGAGTTGTACATTTATTACCTAGAAAACAAATGATTTGCTTAGATAAAGTTGAACATATGTATAAACGTGTGACAATTGATATTGTTGATTATCAACAACGTTTTCATCGTGTATTTGTCTATAAAATGAATTTAATTGGACAAGAAGAAAGACATATAGGTATACCATCAGAACGCTATGTAGATATTATTGTTAAAGGTTGTGAACATTTTGGCGTTCATTCTTCATATATTGATCGTTTAAAATATGAACAACCAGTTATTCCTCGAAAATTACCTTCAACATATGAAACTATTAATAATATACCGAATGATATTTATTATACAGATGAAGATCTTTTAAAACATAATGGAAAAGATTCAATGTTTTCTTTGTGGATTAGTGTTAATGGAAAAATATTAGAACATACAGGTTTACCATCAAATGATCATCCAAATTATGAAAATCAAAAACAATTCTATGAATTTGTTTTATCACATCTTGCTGGACGAGAAGTTACTCATGCAATATCAAAAGCATGGTATGAACCAATGTATAAATTACCATTGAATGATGATGATTTATGTGATGAACATCGTGCTTTAGTTGAAGATATGTGTGTTTCTTGGGGTCTTGATAATAGTAGAAAAAACAGTGAATCATATTGGAAACCAATTGGAAGACTTTGTCAAATATCCAAAAAAAGCAAACCTTGACGAGTTAATACTGTATTGTTTGCTCTCTTTAAAAAAATATTCATGTTCAATAAAATGTAAATACAATTTCGCATGAATAAGAATATCTTTACCCCCCTTTTTTTTTTGTTACAGTAACCCGTACTATTAACCTACGTTTCAGGTGTTAATAGTTTGTATCTAACAGCTTGCACATTGTCACATAGAGATAAATGAAGCATTTTACTTTTTTTGAAAGTTCTTCATTCTTCTGTTCTAAAAATTTGATAGCACTAATAAATTTATTTTTCAATGATTAACAGATTCATAAGAGATACAAACGTCTTGGACAAAATGTTGAATTGTACATGTCAGCCATTTTAGAAAATGAAAAGCTAATTGTTTTTTTTTATTACAAAGAATATGACAAGTACGAGAAAAAAACTGTATTGAGAGAACTCAAGATATTTCATTTCACCACATAGATTGACATTTCTACCAAATACAATGTATCATGGCGTGCAACATTTCTTAATGAAGGTCTTTTTTTTGCCTTTTGTTTGATTCTTCGAACCAAATGGTCAACAATTCTGCTTTCCAATTGCTTTCATATATTTTTCGTTCAAGTAGAGTCCATACAGTTTCCATTAGACGGGTTTGAGTTATGTTTGGTGGATTATCAGCACGAAAAACAAGCGATATATTTTTCTCATTTAAATATTCTTGAATGGCATTTGAATAATGTGTTCTTGCTAAATCGCGCCAGCGCAAATAGTTTCCATTCCAATGATATTTATTAATAAAAGTTAACAGTTTTTTTTATTAATACATTATTTTGAATATACTTCTTGATTAACATTTTGCTCACCTTTGCGAATGTAGGCATTCAAAATCCGTTTCTAGAACATAGCTGTCCAAGTCATTATTTTTTATTTAAATTTTGCTTTCTTTTGAAATTTGATGTTGGGAGAAGTTGTAGCTGGATTGGTTGATTAGAAATAGTCCTTCCGGTCAATTTGAAATATTTTTCATCGTTCTTAACTAAATTACAACAATTTAACAATATTAGATTTACTTATTTTGCCACAATTCCTTCGTGCTCAGATTGGTTACTGTTCACTATTCATTGTTGCAACTTTTCGACATTGTCTTATAATAACTGATGTCTGTCTTCGAACATTATGTGAAATTGTTGACGGATGTGCCTGAAATCATTATTCCATTTTACGTTGACTTATATCGCACTGATTGTTCATCGATTTAACAATATGCTTCAAAGTCTTCTTGAATAATTTGATCGCACGACTACAACGAGTCCGATTTTTTGTGGTTTCACATTTTAAATACTTTAGAATGTTTTCCTTTTTATTAAAATAATTTACCGTACTTCTTTACAGATTTATTAGAAAAATCACAGTAGATAGTGCAAATATGTTGTACTAATGCTTCTCTTTGATTACGTGTTTTTTTTTTATTATGAATAAACAGTAACAAATTATCAAATTTCGTTGGAAAGAAAACTAAACAAGTTATCAACTGATAAAATAATGTTTATACGAACATGTGTCCATCAGTCAGAAATACCGCCGACCATTCTCTTCTTAAGACTTTTATTTTTCTTTCATTTTGAGAAATTGCTTTATAATTGTAGCATCAATATATCAAGTTATTTATCAATAAAATTAATAATTTTCAACTATTTTGTTTTAATTTCTTCATAATAGTTCTTGTTTGAAAACTTTTTACAATTTTTTAAAATGTGTCAGAACTTGTAGGACATCATAAATTTGTTTTTGTTAAGCTGTTTCTCTCTCTATAGCCTTTGTGTATTTTGCGTGTGAGTTAACAATGATTTCTTTACATCTGTAAGCTTGAATTTCACAATAGAGTAACTCTTTTGAATAGTTTTTACAAAGGTTTCTCTGATGAAAAAAAAAAATAGATCGCTATTTTAAAATATAATTGAAATGTCATAACATAAGGTCACATCGATACACAATGACTGACACATAATAGACAAATTAAACTTTCATAGTAGGAAGAATATCAAACAGAATATGTCGAAACTAAAATCAAAATCTTATCGATATTCAATAGAAATGACCTCAAATTTCAATAATATTCCTTCTTCACATTATACAGTATTTCAAGATACAAATTTTTTAGTACAGTATGATTGCTTCGCTCGATTATATTTATATGAAATATTCTTTCACATTGTTTGTTTTGTTAATTGTATAATATTTTCATCGTTTTCATTTTCTATACGAGCTTTTGATGGGCTAGACGATAATAACGACCGCCGAGGGCAAGTAATTCTTGATGAGTTCCACTTTCAACTATTACTCCATTATGTAAAACACAGATCATATCTGCATTTTGAACTGTTGATAAACGATGTGCTATCGTAATGGATGTTCGATTTTGTTGAGCATGGTCTAATGCTTCTTGAACTATTCTTTCATTTTCACTGTCCAATGCACTTGTTGCTAAATACTTATATACATTATACAACAATCATATTCTTACTATTCTTACCTTCATCAAACAATAATATTTTTGGATCTCGAATTAATGCTCGAGCAATTGCTAAAATCCAATACAAGGTATTATAGTTTTACTCTCGAAAAAACAAAACTCTTTTCAATATCAAATCTTACCAATGCGTTGTTTTTCTCCGCCTGATAATTGAGCTCCTTTTGTACCACAATTTGTTTCGTATCCCTGGAAAAAAAATTCTTTTCTCTCGATAAACAAAGAAATATCATTCTATGACTTACTTTTGGAAGCCTTTGAATAAAATCATGTATATTAGCATTTTTAGCTGCTTTAATAATTTCATCCATTGGAATATCACTTCGACTATTATCACCATAAGCAATATTTTCTCGTATTGACATATCAAATAAAACTGGTTCTTGTGAAACAATACCAACTAAAATATATTCATTTTAAATAAGTAAAAAGAAGAACAAGGATGAGATGTATTGAATACTTTGTGATCGATACCAATGAAGATTAAGACTTCGAATATCTTTTGAATCAACTAACTATAAAAAGAAAATAGAAGAGTATATATGAAAGAGAAATGAGCTAACCAATAGGCCAACATTTGTATCATAGAAACGTTCGATTAACTGAATAGTTGTTGATTTTCCACAACCAGATGTACCTATATAAGTAAATGGATATATTGAAATTGAAGATATTGCAAAGATAAAATAAAGGATGATGTTTACCAACAAGTGCAACTTGTTGACCTATGAAAAAAAAAATTTGATATAAATGAATGAATGAAAGACAAGATTGAATACCAGGTTGGATTTTGAGATTGAGATTTCTAAGAATGATTGATTCTGGTCTGTTTGGATATATGAAATGAACACCATCAAATTCTAATTCTCCACGAAAGTTAGGCTAAAACAAAAAGAAAATAGAGAAAAAAACGATCGATATCGTCAAAAATGACTAATATTAACTAACAATTTTTTCACCATCACGTGAACCATTATCAATAATTGGTTTCCGATTCAATAATTCTAAAATCTTTTCAGCAGCATCAACGGCCTTAGTATAATCCGGAGACCTAACAGAGTAATAGAAATAAAAGTGTAATTTTCGTCTAATCTTTTCGAATATTTACATAGATGCTGTTTGTCCAACACTTTGTGCACCAAATACAATACAATTAAAACATCTAGAATAAAATGAAGTTATGATATTTTAGCGATATTTATTCTTACAATAAAAGTGCTTCAAATGAAATCTTATTGGCCTCCACTAAATATGCACCTAATTTAAATAGTGCTGCTAAACTAAAAAACATAATCGAGTTTGTCAATGCAAAGAATATACCAAAGAGATGTGCTCGTTTTATAGATGATCTATAATATAAATATTCTAATAGATTGTCGATTAAATTTACAAAAGAAATTTAATACCGATAAGGTATTTCAAGAAATGAACAATATTGTTCGTAAAAATAATCTTCTTTAGTTAATTGTACAACTGTTCGAATATTTTGTATAGATTCAACTGTTACCTAGAGAACATATAAAATCAAATGAATAATATTTATTATTTAAAAGATGAACGAACCTTTCCAGCATCTTCAAATGATTTTTTATCTTTACTAGCAAATCCAGTCATTAAACGACTTTGTAAAAATCCTCCAATAACCATAAATGGAACAAAAGCGAGAATAAGCAATGTCAATTGCCAAGAAAACACAAAACCGAGTATAATACCAGCACCAAGTGAAGAAAAATTTTGTAACATTAGTCCTATACGAACACCAGTTGCTCCTTGTACAGCAGATGCTTCAGTTGCTAAACGTGTACATAATGCTCCTGTATTATTATTTGGATTATCAAAATAAGCTATTTCTTGACGCAGAATAGTATGAAATGTTTTAGAACGTAATCTCTTCGTTAGAGCTTCACCTGAACAAGCAAATAAAAAACCCTAAATAAAACAAAAAAAAAAAGAATAAACACATTTGCAATCATTGAAATAGAACAAACGTACTTGAAGAAACATTGTAATTAACATTATAATAGCAAAACCAAGAAATAAGAGTATATAGAGAAGAACTCGATTCTTTTGAACTTCTGGATCACATTCTTGAAAAACCTTTTTTCAATAAAAATCAATATTTTATTATGAAAAATTCGAAAAAATTCTACCGCAGTTAGCTTGCTTAGAACAACACCAAATGCTGGTTGAATACCACCATTGCATAGACATGAGATACATCCAATTAATATAAATATCCATTCTTTTTTGTTCATTTTTAACATTTTAAGAGCAGCATTAGGTTTTTTTTCCTAATTAAATCATATTGATTAAAATTACAATAATTCTCAATTGAATCTTTTTTCTTTTTACTTTAATATCTTCTTCATTTATACTTTCACCTGTTTTTGAATTCTTTCTTTTACCATACAATGCATTCCTAACTGATGATGTTATACTAATAATAGTTGAAGCACGTTTTCTTGCGAAGCTTAATTGAATTTCTTCCATTGGATGAGCGACAATCGATCCATTACGCTCACGTTGCTCAAGAGCTAATTGTTCTTCTTCTTCTGCTCGACGTAAATTTTGTTGTTCAACAAGTGCAAAATAAGTTCCACGAGCACGCATCAATGATTCATGATCACCTTCTTCGACCACATTACCTTTATGCATTACAATAATTTTATCAGCATTACGAATTGTCGATAGACGATGTGCAATTACTAATGTTGTGCGACCTAATAACAATAAACAATATTACGATGAAAATATTTCAATTGAACTTTTACTTTACCTTCAGCAGCACGATCTAAAGCTTCTTGAACTATTTTTTCACTTTCATTATCAAGTGCACTAGTAGCTATTATATAAAAAAAAAATAATATAATTATGAGAAGAAAAATAAATAAATGTTTACCTTCATCAAGAAGTAAAATCTTTGGATCTCGAATCAATGCTCGAGCAATGGCTATAAAAAAATTTCATCAAAAAAGAACAAAGATGATCAACATTTTGATTTATATTCCAACTGTACACATACCAATTCTTTGTTTTTGTCCACCTGAAAGTGTAGCTCCACGTTCACCTACTCGAGTTTCATATTTCTACAAATACAGACATAAACGATAGAATTGACAAATTTGAAAAGAAAAGAAAATCTATTAATATGGTTAATATACATATATATATATATATCTTACATCAGGCAAAGTCATAATAAAATTATGTGCATT